GCAGCTGTTGCTGCGGCTGGCGGTGCTGCTGGTGCTGCTGCTGTTGGTGCTGCTGAAGCAGACGAAGAGGCGGCAGAAGAAGCAGCAGCAGCAGACCGATGGCATTTTGCTGCTGGCAGCAGCAGCAGCTACAGCAGCAGCACAAGCTCCAGCAGCAACAACCCCTCGCCTAACTTGGCGGCGCTGCTGCTGCGGGGAGAAGCAGAGCCCGCAGCAGCAGCAGCAGAGGAAGCAGAGACTGAAGTCCCTCTTATTGCTGCAGACATGCAGCAGCAGCAGCAGCAGCTGCCCGAGTCTCGCGGTTTCCAGCAAGGGAGTTCAACAGCCCTGCAGCAGCAGCAACGGCAGCAGCAGCAACAGCTGTACCAGCAGCAACAGTTGCAGCACCAACAGATGCAGCAGCAGCAACTGTTGCAGCAGCAGCAGCTGTTGCGCCAGCAGCAGCATCAGCAGCTGCAGCATCTGCAGCAGCAACAGCAGCAGCAGCAGCAGGAAGGTTCCGTGCAGATAACGCGCAGTGGGCGGCGCGTAACGTTTGCTTTTAATGTTTCAGACGTAGCGCGAGAGGAGGAGAACTCCCCAGCAGCAGCAACAGCAACAGCAGCAGCAGCAGCGGCAGCAGCAACAGCAGCGCCAGCAGCAGCAGCAGCACAAGCAGCAGCAACGGCCGATGGTAGGCGCACCAGCAGAAAACCCAATGGAGCGCAGGGGGCATCGAATGTGGCTCAATAACAGCAGCAGCACCAGCATCAGCAGCACCTCAGCAGCAGCAGCACCGCGGCAGCAGCCGCAGCAGCAGCAGCAGCAGCAGGTAACGTCGCTGTAACCTGAAGCTCCATTGAGGTGGGAGTTGGCTGTACTCAGCCAAGAAGGTTCCTCTTAGCTCAAGCAGCAGCAGCAGCAGCAGCAGCAGCAGCAGCAGCAATGAAACAGCAGCTGCTGCATGACCTACTGCTGCTGCTGCAGCGCATCCAGCGGCCGCTGTAGGTTCTGCTGCTACAGCAGCAGCAGCAGCATGTACCGCTGCAAGCATCAGCTCTTGCTGCTGCAGCTGCTGCGGCAGCATACACAGCTGCAGCAGCCTGTACCGCTGCAAACATCAGCTGTTGCTGCTGCAGCTGCAGCAGCAGCACACCCAGCTGCAGCAGCAGCTGGTGAGTGTCTTTGCTGTTTGCATTTATCTAACAATGCGTCTTATCGTTTCTTTTTTTGTTTCTCCATCTTCGGTCTCACTTCTCCTCGTGCTGATCGGTGAAGGCAACTTAAAAAAACTACGCAGTTCACGCTCCTGCAGCAGCAGCAGCAGCAGCAGCAGCAGCAAGAGCAGCCACATCAGCAGAAAGGCAACAGATGGAGCAGCACAAAGAACGAGGGCAAAAGCAACAGCAGCAGCACCATCTGGCGACGCAACAGCGTTAGGAGCATAGGCAGCAGCAGAAGCAGCACGAGCAGCAGCAGCACGAGCAGCAACAGCATCTGCAAAGGCATCAGCGTCAGGAGCAGCAGCAGCAGCAGCAGCAGCAGCATGAGTAAGAGATGTTTGTGTATTGAGTTCTGACCGCAAGCATTTGCTGCTGCTGCTGCTGCTCCTGCAGCAGCTCCTGAAGTCTGCCTCTGCATCTCCAGCCATACAGCGGCGGCTGCAGCGGAATTAGTGCTGCAGCACCGAGTGCTTTTGCTGCTGCAGCAGATATAGAGGCCCCAGCAGCAAGCCAAAACTTAACACGAGAGAAGCGGAGACGCAATTCAGATACTCCTTTGTTGTCTGTTGCTGCTCGCGAGACATAACTCCCCAATACCTGCAGCAGCAGCAGCAGCAGCAGCAGCAGCAGCAGCAGATGTCACAAGCAAAGACAACATCCATGTATAACTGCGTACCCAAAGGCAGCAGCAGCACCAACGACCAGGTAAGCAGCCACAAACAACGCCCTCGCATGCAGCAGCAGCAATTGAATGCAGCTGCAGCTGCAAGGCGAACAGCAACAGCAGCAGCAGCAGCAGCAATAGCAGCAGCAGCAGCAGCAGCAGCAGCAGCAGCAGCACCTCCATGTGTTTTCCGTCCCTCGGGTCCCTTTGATTTGCCGCCACAATCTTAAAAAATCTTCTCCCTTTCGTACCCATCACCTGCAGCAACAGCAGCAACAGCAGCAGCTGCAGCAGCAACAGAGCATGTACAGCAGGTGCAGCAACAGCAGCAGCACCAGCACCGAGCAGCTGCAGCAGCAAACGTGGCAGTGAAGTCGCAGTACGAACGACAGTCCTGAAACGGAAGCAATTGCAGCAGCAACAGCAGCAGCAGCAGCAAAGACACCAGCAGCAAAAAACTGTGCTGCTTTACCTGCATGCGTATACGTGGGGGGCCCCGGTCCTTTGAATAGAACGGCAGAAACATTCGACGCACCATCTTTGCTGCTGCTGCTGCTTCTGCTGCTGCTGCTGCTGCTGCTCGTGCTGCTTCTGGTGATGTAAGTTGTGCTGCTGCTGAATTCCCTGCTGCAGCAGCAGCAGCAGCAGCAGTACTTAACTTCAGAGGTATCGACCGCCGCTCCTGTGTTGCTACTGTCTGCCGCTGTCTGCTGCTGCTGGCTGGTGCTGCTGCTCTCCTGTGCTGTTTCTGCAGCAGCAACTGCTGCTGTTATTGCCGCCGCCCGTGCTGCTGCTGCTGCTGCTGCCGCCGCAGCTGTTGCTGCTGCTGTTGCTGCTGGTGCTGCTGCTGCAGCTGAAAACAGCAGCAACGCAGTGTAGGAGGGTTGGCGATACAGGCACACTGCAGCAGAAAGCCTCGCTGCTGCAGAAAGACTAGCAGCAGCTGCTGTCGTGCTGCTCGTGCTGTTGTTGCTGCTGCTGCAGCAGCAGCAGCAGCAGCAGCCAACTGCACACTTGCTTTCGAGGGCCCTTTCCCTCGAGACTTGCAAACCGTATTTTAACGATGTAATTGTGCATAAATTAAGGCAAAACTGCAGCGACAACAGTAGCAGCAACCGCAGCAGCAGCAGCAGCAGCAGCAACAGCATGCCTCGAGATATGGGGCCGTGGAGGTCCAGCACAGCAGCAGAGAGTCGCAGCAGCAGCAGCACAACACAAAAGTGGACGCAACAGCAGATGTCTATGCACTTTATTTGATATAGAAAACAGAGTTCGCGCTGCAGCAGCTGCAGCAGCGGCTGTTGCTGTTGTCAACCCTCTAGCAGCAGCAGCAACAGCAGCGGGAGAAGCAGTAGCTGCTACTGCAGCAGCAGCAGCCGCTTGCACCCTGAATTTCTATCAGTTCAACACTTAAGTGGTCGTGCGAAGGCGTGGGGTGTGCAGCAGCGGCAGCAGCAGCAGCGGTAGCGGCTGCAGCAGCTGCAGCAAAAGCAGCAGCAGCAGCCTGCAGCAACAGCATCCAGCAGCAGCAGCAGCAGGCGCACTGACTGCTTCGGGCGCCACGCTCTGGACGCACATACAGAACAGGAAGCAGCAGCAGCAGCAACAAGAGCAGCGTCACCAACAGGAGCAGCAGCCGCAACGGCAGCAGCACCTGAAGGAGGTGCGGCATACAGGTCGCGCAGAGAGCGGCAGCAACAGCAACAGCACCTGCAGCAGCAGCAACAGCAGCAGCAGGAAGCGCAGCAGCAGCGCCACGTCCGATCCTGCAGCAGAATGAAGCGGACGGCGACAAACAGCAGCAGCAACAGCAGCAGCAGCCTCGGCAGCTGTACTGACACCTCGGGTCCCCCACAGAAGGTGCAGTGCCTGGGCAGCAGCAGCAGCAGTAGCAGTAGCAGCAGCAGCAACAGCAGCAACAGCAGCAGCTGCAGCAACAGCACGAGCGTAAGCCGGCAGCCGTCCGTTGTAGAGGGGGGGTGCCCGGTTGCTGCTGCTGCTCCTTCTCATAGTGCAGGAAGCGCAGCAGCAGCAGCAACAGCAACAGGAGCAGCAGCTGCTGCTGCGCGCAGCAGCAGCAACAGCAACAGCAAGGTTAAGGGCGTCGGTCCTAAAGGAGGGAAGCAGCTTAATCCAGCTCGCTTCACAGACACCTACGCTTTGCAAGTAAACCCTAAACCCTAAACCCTAAAAAAACCCTAAACCCTAAGCCCTAAACCGCAATTTCTTCGCATGCACAATGCTGCGAGTCCGACTTTTTGGGGGCCTTGTCTGCTTCGGGGGAGCAACTTAGGGTTTAGGGTTTAGGGTTTAGGGTTTGTGAGTTCAGTTTCCTAACGCTCTGTCGGCGAAGGCTATTATCTGGGCTCGAGATCCTGTTACTCGCTTCTGGAGACCTTGCAAAATTATACATGCTAGGTGCTGCTGCTGCTGCTGTTAACTGCTGCTGTTGTTGGTGTTGTTGCTGCTACTGCTGCTGCTGCTAGTATGCGCTGCTGCTGCTGTTGCTGCGGTTGCTGCGGTTGCTGCTGTTGCCGCCGTTGCTTTGTTGGCCTCGTAGCAACAGTTGTTGCTGCTGCTTGTTGCTGCTTCTCTTGCTGCAGGCCAAATGCAGAGCGGCGGGCAGCAGCAGCTGCTGCTGCAGCACCTACTACTATAGGAGCAGCAGCAAGGAAGAAGGGCTCGTTTCCACTGCGGGGTGCTGCAGCAGCAGCGGCTGCTGCTGCTGCCGCTGCTGCAGCAGCACCTGGGCAGCAGCAGCAGCAGTCCCTGGCAGACGGCAGCGCCTCAGCTGATTCAGCAACAGCTGCAGCTTCCAGCAGCAGCAGCAGCAGCTGGTTTGACGGGAGCGCCTTCGCTGAAGCAGCAACAACCCTTAAACCGAGTGATTACGATTACTACGTGCACTTCTTAGGTCTCGACCGACGGTAAACCCTAAACCCTAAACCCTAAACCCCTTATGTGTGGGGATTATCCAGAGGTGTTTGTTGAATTTTTTAGCAGCCCTTGCCTTGGGTATAGGGTTTAGAGGCAGGAGGCAAGGGTTCAAGGTTTAGGATGTAGGGTTTAGGGTTTAGGGTTTAGGGTTTATGGTTTGCAGGTTGGACTGCTGGCGATGTTGGGCGGATTTGCGCGAAACGCGTGAAGAATTGCCTCCGGATTCGCCGGTAGCAGATGAAGAAGAAAGCGACGCTGATGAAGAACATGCGGGTAGATTAATGCAGAAAGAAGAGGGAAATGGGGCAGAAAATAGAAATTAGAATTAAAAAGAATTTAAAAATTCAAAAATAAATATAAAATGCGCTTCAAACACACGCAGAAAGATAAATATGACAGCACGCACCACTGCAAACACCAGTAGAGCTGCATATACACCTGAGCTGCATATACAGCTGAACTGCATGCATACACCTGAACTGCATGCAAACACCAGTAGAGCTGCATATACACCTGCACTGTATGCATAGCCCTGCACTGCATGCATACACCTGAACTGGGTAAACGCTTGCATTGCGTATATTCCTGAATGCGTTGAGTATGTGCGTATACACCTGAGTATATGTACGAGGTGCCTATACACCTGAGTATATGTACGAAGTGCCTATACACCTGAGTGTATGTACGAAGTGCCTATACACCAGAGTATGTGTATGAGATGCGTATACACCTGAGTATATGTATGAGATGCGTATACACCTGAGTATATGTATGAGGTGCCTATACACCTCAGGTTTGGATGAGGATTACTTGCGAGAGCATGAGGAGGCAACACGGCTGAAGACAGTGGAGAGGATTTCGATTGGCTCGTATTTAGTAGACTGTTGGTATTTCTCTCCGTATCCAGCAGAAGTGCAAGACGTGCCCGTCCTCTTTATTTGCGAATTCTGCCTCGCCTTCTTCGTGTCAGTAATGCTTCTGCTGCTGCTGCTGCTGCTGCTGCTGTTGCTCCTGCTGCTACCGCTGCTGCTGCCCTTGCATAGATCAGGATTCCCATCCGCATGACCCTACTGCTGCTGCTGCTGCTGCTGCTCTTTGGGGTGTACAGACACGAGAGCGAACTGCAGCGGCATGCGCTGCTCTGTGAGTGCCGCCACCCTCCAGGAAATGAAATTTATCGGTGAGGCTTGCAGCAACCACCTCGAGCTCCATTAGGGTTTAGGGTGTAGGGTTTAGGGTTTGCGGTTTGTGGCTGTTTGTGCGGAGATGGTAGGGTTTCAGTGTTTGAGGGTTTAGGGTTTAGGTTTTAGTGTTTGCGGCTATCTGTGCAGCGATAATGGGGTTTCATTGTTCGAGGGTTTAGGGTTTAGGGTTTAGGGCCTAGGGTTTAGGGTTTTGTGGTCATCTTTGCAGCGATGATAGGGTTTCAATGTTTGAGGTGGACGGGACTTACTTTCGGGTGTATTGCGAGAATTTGTGTTTTCTCTCCAAGCTGTTTCTAGATCATAAAACCCTAAGGTTCGTCTTCCTAGGGTTCAGGGTTTAGGGTTAGGGGTGTAGAGTTTAGGGTTTGTGGTTTAGAGGACGCCTTTTTATTTCTTCCGTGACTTGCTTCAGTGGGCTTATTAGGGTTTAGGGTTTAGGGTTTAGGGTTTAGGGTTTGGAGGGCGTCGTTCTCTTTCCTCTTTGCTTCGTTTCAACGGATTGAGGGTTTAGGGTTTAGGGTTTAGGGTTTATTGTTGTCTGGATCTTCTGCTTTGTAGTTGATGCTTCCTTGGTTCTTTTTTCTTCCTCTCCTTTTGTCTTTCTTTTTACTTAGGGTTTAGGGTTTAGGGTTTAGGGTTTTGTTGTTTGTTGTGTTGGGGTGTACAGACACCCGGTGAATTTGTTTGTCTTTTACGTAATGACTGAATACGACAGCAAAGGGCACCACATTACTGGATATTTTTCAAAAGAAAAGCACTCGAAAAACAACCTTTCTTGTCTACTCACGCTGCCGCAGGTTAGCTGCTGCTGTTGCTGCTGCTGCTGATGATGCTGATGCTGCTGCTGATGATGCTGATGCTGCTGCTGCTGCTGATGATGCTGATGCTGCTGCTGCTGCTGATGATGATGATGATGCTGATGATGATGCTGCTGCTGCTGTTGGTGCTGATGATGTTGGTGCTCCTGGTGCTGCCGATGATGATACTGCTGCTGCTGGTGCTCGTGCTGCTGCTGCTGCTGCTTCGGATGCTGTTGCTGCTGTTCCGTTGATATATATGATGTTTGTGCAGCAGCATCTGCTGCTGTTTTCGTGTCAATTCCCGCTGCACCTCCACCACTAGCAGCACCAGCAGCACCAGCAGCACCAGCAGCAGCAGCAGCAGCAGCAGCAGCAGCATGATCATCAGGAGTCTAAAGTGACGCTGTGAAAGAAGCTGTTGATGTGTATGTTGTTGCTGCAGCACCAGCGAAAGGGGTACGGCAAGTTTTTGATTAGTTTTAGTTATTCATTGTCTCAACGCGAGAGACGAGCAGGGGGCCCTGAGAGGCCGCTGTCTGACTTAGGCAAGGCAACCTACTTTGCTTACTGGACTGAGCAGCTGCTTAAACTGCTGCAGCCTCCGAAGAATAGAATCTCCCTTCAGGTCGGCTGCTGCTCTTCCTGCTGCTGCTCTTCCTGCTGCTCTTCCTGCTGCTCCTGATGCTGCTCGTGCTGCTGCTCTTCCTGCTGCTCCTGATGCTGCTCTTGCTGCTGCTCCTGATGCTGCTGGCGTCCTTGTTGCATTGGTTGCTGCTGGTGCTGCTGTCGAAACAGCGTTCGCTGCTGTTGCTGGTGCACTGTTGATGCTTATATTCATGTATTGCAGTCCCTCAGCAGCAGAAACAGCAGCAGCTGCAGCAGCAGCAGCAGCAGGCACATGTGGTGCTTGACTGTGCTGACACATGCATGCATTGAAATGTATATATATATATATATATATATATATATATATTAGGGAAAAATATATATATAGATATATATTATATATACAGTATATATAATATATATATATATATATATAAATATATTACAAATATATATTTATGAGTTTGTTGTTTTGTTCGTTTTGTTTTGTTTTGTTTGCAGGAGTTGTCGGAGGCCACATCAATTGAATGTCAGGACGTGGTGGTGTGTTTAGAGAAGCAAGGAGTGCTGCAGATTAGAGGGGATTGCTGCTTCTTGCTGCTGCCGCCTGAGAAGGTTCAGGCGCTGCAGCATTCCATAGGTAGACCCTCAAGAAGTGTGCAGCAGCAAGCGCTGCATTGGGTGCCGTATGATTACTATACAGCGCCCTTAGATACAACGCCGCAGCAGTAATTCACAGCAGCAGCTGCTGCTGCTGCTGCTGTTGTTGTTGCTGCTGTTGCTGTTGCGGTTGCGGTGGTCCTGCAGCAACTGCAGCAGTAGCTGCAGCAGCGACCTCTAACTGCAGCAAGAGCTGCAGCAGTAGCTGCAACAGCAACTGATCTAGTAGCAGCTGCTGCTGCAGCAGCGTGTCCAGCAGCGCCTGCACCAGCAGCAGCAGCAACAGCAAGTACAACATCTGGAGTAGCGGCACACCCAGCCCTTCTGCTACTGCTGCAGGCAGAAGTGAAGGGGAGGCTGCCGAAGCTGTTCATGCTGCTGCTGCTGCTGCTGCTGCTGGTGCATGTTGGTTTGGGTTATGTTTCTTTTGTTTGACCTATGCACGAGCCGTGCATTAGTTTTTCTTTGTCTGTTTATCGTATTTCTTTACTTTTGGGTTTAGAATAAACAGCAGTTAGTGCTTACAAGAGGGCAGCGGCAGAGCAGCAGCAGCAGAGCAGCAGCAGCAGCAATTAGCAGATGCAAATATTCGCCGTTTCTACGTTATAATGTAACCCAATTGCATGCATACTGCATGAATACCAGAGCCAGTTACTCTTGTTTTAAAGGTGCACTTAAATATTATTCTTTCTAGAAGAAAAGTTAGATGTTATTTTTTTGAAAGATGTATTTAGGGTTGCACAAGCAGCCAGCAGTGCTGCTGTTGCTGCTGCAGCTGTTGCCGCTGCAGCTGGTGCTGCTGCCATTGCTGTTGCTGTAGATGCAGCTGCACAATCACTGAGTTATTATCTGTGTTTGTCTTTTCTCCTATCTCTTCTACCTGCCATCTTCATTCGCAGTTTATTTCCTTCTCTTTCAACGCCTACTACTGCTCTTAGCTCAATTTACGTGTTACATCGAGATGATGCAATAAACTCTTTTATTTGAGTCTGCGTTTCTCACGCATACGCGCAAATACGTAGATCCGATGTATATATACAGCAGAATAAACAGGAAGAAACGAAGAAGAATGCATTCAAACAGCACTAAGAGGCTGCACACATTAATATTTCTGCATCGTTGCTGCATACTGATGATGCTGGCCCAGCACCAGCAGCAGCAGTTTATTATTTGAAGTTTAATATCTGAATATGCACTTTAATTTCTAATTAATTAATGTTAATATTATTATTTCAACAGTTTATTCTTCAAACAAGAAACAGATAACCCTTAACCCCTTGGTGCTACTACCGGCAGCCACTTCCGCGCGGCGCGAGGCTGCGTGGGGCGGGGAGAACCAGCTGTGCGTATTGTTGAGAGGGAGAAGATCGTTTGAATTCTTTTTTGATCAAAATAGCGTTTTTTTCGTATTTTATATTCAATTAAAACAAAAAAAAACAAACGAATATCCTCCCTCTGGAGGTTAAACTCATGACTAGTCAGCGACGCGCGGGAGAGTTATATGCCTCGTTCCTCCAGAGCCGATGCCCTGCTGTTTTTCTTCATCTCCCCCTAAACATCTTCAAAATTCAATCTTTTTTACTGTTTCTATGTCTGTTATCGTTTTCCTGAAGGAAGGTTTTGTGTGAGGTGGTCGTGTTTTTCTGCGTTATGGTCCCCTGTCCCAGTCGCATCTTGCACGGGGGGCTGTTTCGCATTTGTGCAGCGACAAAGCTTTAAAATCTATTTATGTTTCTTCTTTTCCTAATTTCGTCTTTAATTATTGTGCAGTGGTTCATTGAATCTGAATAAAGTCGCTGTTTTTAGCTTGTGCAGTTTTTTTCGCCCGCCTTCTACGGCAACAGTGCTGAGGCAGTAACGTAGCCTCCTACCTCTGCGACTGCACAAACGAGGGTCTAGAGACCCGAAAGTTTGATAAATGAAAGCTTGTAATTTCTGCATTTTTGTTTGAGCGTTCAACCAGGTGTATATACACCCGAGGGGTTTGCGCTGAAATGTGTAATCTGTTTCGGTTCAAAAGTTGAATAGAGGTGATCGTCTCGTTTGCATTATTGGGAGATTCTTGAGGAATTACAGATTTTCTGTTTTAATTTTCTTGTGTTTTTGCACCTTATTATATAGTTTATTGCACATCAATTGGCTTGAATGTCGCCCAATAACTCTGCGCCGAGTTCCCCTCAGGGATCGCCGGCTCCTTCCTTGGGGCCGTTAAGAGGGTTTTCTTTTGATTTTTCTCTAGATGAAGTCCCTGTAGATGAAGAATACCCATTTAGCCCCACGACTGAAGAAGATTTTTCTAAGTCTCCCCATGAGTCTTCTGAATACACTATAGATTTAAAAGAGAGAAGATCGTCTACAAGAGAAGGAAGTCGTCATCACTCTATTAAATCTCTAACTGTGATTCTGTGCAGCATATTAGCGCTCATAGCGCTGCACGTCAGGCGTCCAGCGAAAAGAACAGCTCTTGCAAAGGAGCTGATGGAGCTGTCTGCACGTATATTTGAACGAAAACCAGACGGTGGAAAGGCATACCCAGCCGCAGCGGAGCTCAGTGATGATGTATTTACGTTTGAAGAAGGTTTAACAGGGATTGATGAAAGCAGTTCAAGTTTTTCCTCTTCTTCCTCCTCCAGAAGCGTAGATAGCCAGGAACAGCAGTATGATGATGATGAGCAGCAGCAGGAGCAGGAGACGCAGTTTCGTTTACCAGGTCGGAAGTTTAACGTTATAGAATTGCCAGATGTAGATGAGGCAGAGGCATTGATGTCTAAAGAGGAGTTGGAGGGGAAGCACTTTTTAGCGAATTATGTTATTGTAGATGAGTCTGAAGAAGAATTTAATCCAGATGATGATGAAGAGCCCGTCGTAGAGGAAGAAGAAGTAGACCCTGCGCTTGCTGCTATTGCAAGATTGATATCCGATGGAGAGACAGACAAACTAGTTGACTCTATTGTACATCTTGAAGACGTAAAGCCGTTAGATTCATCTCTGCCTGCTGGAGACACAAACCGCAGCTTCAAAGTTACTCGTTTTCTAGGAAAAGGAGTAAGCAGTGTGGTTGTTGCAGTTGTAGATGAAGAGACAGGAGAGGAGCATGCAATGCGTTTGCATGTATTAGAGAAGCTAAACGTCTCTGAAGAACAGACAACGAAGCTGGTGCTGCAAGCAGCAGACAAAGAGAATAGGTGTATAGACACCGCAGTAGAGGGGGTATCTGCTGCAGAAGTTGCAAACAAGAGAGGTTTCTCAGTTCCTAGATATACGGGGAAGATAGCAGGAGCTTCTACTCTTACTTTATGTGGTGATATGTACGTGGTGTCTGGAGTTCAGCTGTTTCAGCGGTTGCACGGCAGCGTAAAAGAGATTATTAACCATCTGTGGCGCATACCTCCTAATGCAAAGTTGTATGTAGCTCGGAGATTGCTCATAGAAGTTATGCACCTACAAGCAGCAGGAGTTGCGCATAATGATTTAAGATTAGATAACTGCTTTATGATGAAAGACGGTTCTTTTCTTTTAGGCGACTTCGGCGCAAGTACGCCATTTGGAGAAGAGATAGCAGAGCTTACACGCGTTACCATGGCTTATGCAGACCCGCAGATGCTGATAGACTTGAAAGATTTTCTAAAATCAGAGAGATCTTCAGTTACACCTAGCCCTAATGGAGATCTTTGGTCTCTAGGAATGATATTATATGAGTTGTTTGCAGACGGAAGAATGCCTTTCGGTATTGCTCATAGTCGACGAGACTTTGAACAAATGCAAAAAGTTGCAGCAGACCTTGTTAATAGAGAATTCGATGAAGATAATCAAATAAGTGTTGCTGCTGAGGTGTATGCGGGGCTTCAGAAAGAAGAGCATATTCCTGAGAGGTGGAAGCAACTTATTTGCTGTCTTTTAGAGCCTAATAGAAGTAAAAGACCGTCTTGGACTGAGATAGCAATGCGCTTCCCTGATTTGTTGCTGCAAGCAGAAGTTCAATAAATCTTCTCAAAAATATATTCTACTTCTAACAGGGAGTTCAACCGGGGCTTGACGAGGTCATAATGCTGTTTGCGAATGCACACAATATGAATGTGCTGTAACATATTATTATTATTATTTAGTATTATTATTTATTTATTATTATTATTATTATTGCTTTTAGTATTGTTGTTGTTGTTAGTGTTAGTGTTGGTGTTGTTATTGCTATTTTTGTTATTGTTGTTATTGTTATCGTTATTGCAGTTATTATTATTGCAGTTATTATTATTATTATTGTTGTTGTTGTTATTCGTGTTCTTGCATTAGTATTGCATTATTCATTATCGGCTGTGAAGTGTTTGAGTCTTCTTCCCTTCTTCAGCCGTAAAGAAGTAGAAAAGGAGAAAATTGAAGTTAAATGCAAATTATTGAATTGAAATTATCACAGAGAATGATTACTTCAGTAGTTCGTTAATATTGTTTAATTAATTTTGTTTATTGTATGTTCTCTTGTTTTGTGTTTCTGTTTGTTTGTGTTGTGCTTATCATGAGGCGCATGTATAGGCGACGCCTTTAGTTGAGTTATTAAAGAATATAAGCTGTTTTTCTTTCTATGATTCTCCTTTATCTACTTCTATTGTTTGTGTAGTTTCGTTTTGCAGTATTTTCATTGTACAATTGTAGTTGCTTATATATGCTTGACTTTTCGCTGCGTGTATGAGTTGCATCTTATATATATATTATATATATATATATAGATCTATATATATAGTAGATATACATGTCTAATCTTCAAGCAGTTAAGAATAAAATGAATATAAGCAGTCTTATTGTGTATGCTTAAGCAACAATGCTCCCTTTGCTGCCAACTTCTTGCGGGCGGCCTCCGAAGCGACAGTCGTCGCAGGAATTCATTTTCCTGCTTTTTCATATTCTTACAAAGCAATCAATTGCTATTATTACTTATTAATTATTATTATTAATACTGTGTTGTTATTATTATTACTATTATTATTTCTATTATTATTAGTAGTAGTAGTAGTACTATTATTATTATTATTATTGCTATTATTATTATTATTATTGCTATTATTATTATTATTATTATTATTATTATTATTATTATTATTATTATTATTGACTGGTGTTACTACCTGATTATTATCATTACTATGAACTATTACTATTACTAATTATTACTATTGAGATTATTATTAGTATACTAAGTACAATCACTAATACTAGTATTTTTACTACCGCGATTAATAATGATTATTAATGCGATTAGTACTACCATAATAATAATTGGCGCTCTTATTACGAATTATTATTTTTATTATTATTTATTATTATTATTCTTACCACTTGCACTATTTCTATTCCTATTGTCGGCATTATTATTGTTACTACTGTTATTATTATTCGTATTAGTATTACTACCGATGCGGTGAAGCCATTCACTTTAACTACGTTCGGAAGGGGAGGCGCACTTCAAGCAGACAGACCCCCACAAAGCAAAACCTTTGTACAGCATGTGTATAAGGTGGAGTAGCACAACTAGCTAGCTAGCTAGCTAGCTAGCTAGCTAGCTGATGTAGGAAATCGATAGCTGATCTGCATTTGCTACTGCCCAGCGCTTTTGTCTCTTTTTTCTCCTCCGTAATTTAATAGTCGTCATTTTTTATTATAGTTTTAATGGTTTCTTTTCTATTTTTTCATTGGTTGCCGTTAGACAAGATGCTGCGCCTCCTGTTTGAATATGATGTGCCCAGTAGCTGCTGCTTGCAATTATATATACAATATTTAATGCATTAATATATATATATATATTTATTTATTTATATTTGTGTATAAGTTGTATATGCAGATTTATGCTTTGTCTCCCTGCGGGCAAGCGGTATAGAAATTGCGAAATTAAACCTTACATTTAGTAAACAGTTCATTTAAAAGAAGGCACCTGCCTCGTTGTTTTCGGCTGTATATACACCGCAGTTAAACTTCGTACATAATAAATTTATATATAAACCCAAAGCCTGCCTTCAGTTTGGGGAAAGCTGTTGCTGCGCGTTTGTGCGTATTCTTTTACTTTACCTCTTCTCCCTTCTCTTCATGTGACGAAGAAGCATTTATTTATTCTTTGCTCAATTGCTGATAATGTCTGCCGCCTTCCTCTCTAATTACGTAAAAAAATACGCAGCCGTGCTGCCCCAACAGCACGTTTTTCTTTTTACCACTTGCACATCTTATGTAGGTGCTACATAACATATCAAGTAGAAAGAAGAGAAAGAAACTAACTCATTTAGAGTTTATAATCGCTAAACTATCCTAGAGTAACTCAGAGAAGTAGAAGAAAACCACGCACTAAACGCAAAAACTGCTGAGAGCCCGAAGTGCTTGTGCGGGAGGTGCAGCAGCAAAAAGATGCAATAGAAATATGCCTTGCTTGCAAAAATGGGAATAAATGTTCAATTATTAATAAATAGTGCAATGGAAACACAGAGAAAAGGCCAATTCTTCGTCTGTACACTCCAAAGCTGCTGCACGCCCCAATGGGCAGCCGCGCAGCAGCAGGGCTTCCCCGGCGTATATCTGCATCGTCCTTGCGTACAATAATGTGGTTTTTTGTGTTTGTTTTCGCTTCTTCTTGGAAGAAAGGTCAATATATTACTATTTTTTTCTATTTCTTTGCTGCCATGCCCACCTTTGCAGCCGCACCAGGCGGGTGTAGTTTCTTTCCGTCTGTGAGCTCGCCTCTCCTGCGCTCTCTGCTTCCTCTTCGCTTTTCTTCCTGAAACCTTCTACGTCTTTGTGTTGCTGCATTTTACATCAAATGCAGCCTTGCAGACACTCCTCAGCCTTCCGTGGAGGCCCCCCTTGCGAGCCGCCCAGTTGGAAGGGCCCCAACAACGGGGGGCATTCTACTCGGTTTAGAGACGTGCATCAGCCTTCACCTGCGGGGGGCCCTCCTCTTATTTCTTCAGCTGGGGTGTATGCAGAGACACCCAACACGGCTCATTGGAGCCCCATGACTTGCCGGGGGCACCATCCCCCGGCACCGCCAGGGCCTCCTGGGGGCCCCCCTATTCACCGAGTGCAACCCAATCCAAGTTGGGGCCCACCACTCCCTGAGGGCCCCCATGCACGGCCAGGGGCTCCACCATCTTTTATGCCCCCGGATTTCCATTCTGAGGCCCCCGGAAACCGTAGGGAAGGAGGAGGGATTGTGGGGGGCCCTGGGGGCCCCCTTTATCAGTTCGCTGGGCCTTGCCCTCCTCAGAGATCTGGGGAGGGGCCTCATGACGCTTCAGGGGGCAGGCGAAATCCACGCATGTCAGGGCCCCGCGCAGGGGGGCCCCCCAAGGGCAAAGGGGGCCCCCCTCCCTCCCGACGTTCGGGGGCCCCCCCGCTAATGGGTAGCGGGGGGAGTCCGTGGCGTCCTTTGAACGATAGCCCTCCACTGTCTGAGGGGGCCCCTATACACTCGAATTCAAAATGTGATATGCCTTGGGGGCCCCCTCTAGCGTATGACAGCGCGCAGCAACAACGGGGAACAGCAGGAGGCTTAGGTGGGGGCCTGGGGGCCCCCGGGCCTGCTGGGGGCCCTCCTTCTTCTTATGGGCCCCTGCCGCCTTCACATCAAACTGGAGATCCGCATTTTGTTCGTCTTATCCATGATGGGGGCCCCAGAGAGACAGTACAAGGCAGGTGCTCATCCGGAGGGAGGCCCCCAGGGCCCAGGGGTCGCCGGCTGCGTGGCGGGGGATTCGTGCCTGAGTGCGAAGATAGCAGCAGCAGCAGCAGCAACAACAACAACAGCAACAATAACGAAAAAAATAACAGCGGCAGCTGCAGCATTCCATTGGCCCCACCCCCTCCACCACCGGGCGGCGGACGCGAGAGAGGCGATGAATTAGGGGGCCCCAACGCGCTGCTCCTGGGGGCCCCTTCTAATGGGGCCCCTAGGGGGCCCCCCGGACCCCTTCCTACAATAGGCCGGGCCCTCTGGGGCAACAGGTCGTTAGCAGAAGCAGCAGCAGCAGAAGCAGCAGCAGCAGCAGTTAGTCGTTGTATTGCAGCCGGCGCCATACCCCAACAGCTGCTTTCTTTTCCCGCTCCCTTGCCTCCCGCAGAGAATGACCTTACCGGTTCTGTGGGGCCCCGAGAGGGGCCCCCCTGTGGGGGCCCCCAGGGGTTTCCAGGACTTATCGGTGAGGTCAGGGGCCCCCCGCCGCTGTCGGGGCCCCCTAGAGGCCCCCGGGGCCCCCCTCCTGATTCAGAAGAACTTAGTGGGGGTGCTGCTGCAGCGGAATTGGGATCGCCAGACAGACGGGTACCTCCGGGGCCCCTACGGACCCTCGTGGGGCCCCCAGCCGGACCCATGGGGCCCCCTGAGGGGCCCCTGGGGGCCCCACCGTCTTTGGATGGCCTTCCTTTGCCAGACCCCGGCTTTGATTCGTCGAGACAAACTATTGATGCTCGCTTCGGCTCATTGGCGCAGCAGCTGCAGCAGCAGAATCGGCAGCCGCTGCAGCAGCAACTACAACAACGTGGGCAGCAGCGGCAGCAGCCATTGCCGCCTCCTGCAGCAAATGCAGAGGGATCTCTTAACTCAATCCTCTCGAGTGAAGCGGCGATGCAGTTGCTGATGTTGGTTGCGCCACCGCAGCTGCAGCAGCAGCAGCAGCAGCAACAGCAGCAGCATCAGAACATGACACCGGGGTTGAGTATGCCTGCAGCTGGCAGTTTAATTCCTGTTACTTCCCAGCAGCAGCAGCAGCAGCAGCAGCAGCGTGCAGTATCAGAGGCGCTGCTTCAAGGGCTTGCAATGGGAGCTCAGCTGCAACTGCAGCAGCAGCAACAGCAGCAGCAGCAGCAACAGCAGCAGCAGCAACAGCAGCAACAGGGGCCGCGTGCGGGGCCCGCGAATCCACTGGCTTCGCTGGGGGGCCCGCAGCAGCAGCTGGCGCTGCTGGAGTCGTTGCGATCTGCAGCAACAGCAGCAGCTGCTGCTATCCGCGGCAATCCTGAAGCTGCTAGTGTATCACAATCCACAGAGGCCGTGCTGCTACAGCTGCAGCAACAGCTGCAGCAGCAGCAAAACCCTGCGGCGTTGCAAGCACTTTTTTCCCTGCAGCAAGCAATCCAAGCTGCTGGTCCTGCATCACTGCAGCAGCAGCAGCCGCTGCCACCTCGACAGGAAGAGCAGCAGCAACAGCCGCTGCAGAAGCCGGCGTTTCAGCAGCAGCAGGAGCAGGTACCGCAACCCCCACCTTTGGTACAGCAGCAGCTGCAGCAAGGTGCAGCTGCTGTGCCGCAGCAGCATTTAGTAGGGGTGCTCCAAGGGCAGCAGCAGCTGCAGCAGCAGCAGCAGCAGCAACCAAGTGCACCTGCACCCGAGTTTGCGCCTGAGCCGCAGCAGCGACAGCAGGCGCAACAACAGCAACAGCAGCAGCAACAGCAGCCCCAGCAGCAAGCAGAGAAGCATTCCCAGCAGCACGGCGTCGGGCGAGTAAAAAGCTCGGTGAGGGTCATTTTCACTCTCCGTTCGGCTGTGCTGCCAATGAAATCTTCAGCAGCATGAATAGCAGCAGCAGCAACAGCAATAGCATGAGCAGCGGGGGAAGCAGCAGCAATAGCAAGAGCAGCAGCAGCATGCGCAGCATCAGCCCTAGCAGCAGGCGCAATGGTGTGTTCAGAGTGTTTTTCTCTTCGTTCTTGTTTGCTGTTGCTGTCGCAGCTGTTGCTGGAGTTGTCACGGGTGCCGGAGCGTCTGTTGGATCCACAGGAGAACGAGGCGGCGCATAGTTGGTGTTACTTAGATGCCTTCAACAAGGCAAGAAGAAGAAGTGCAGTTTCCTTTCTTCTTTTCTATCCCTTCACTCTGCAGGCCCAAACCCTCAGCTGCTATCACGACTGCTTCTCTCGCTCATGCATGCATGCATATGCATCTGCATGCATGCATGCATGACGTTTGTTTTGTGTTTGGGGTGTGCATGTATTTTTTTGTTGCTGCTGCAGTGCCAGGGGCCCTTTTCAACTCTGACGATGTTGCAGTGGCTGGAGTTGGGGTATTTCGACCCCACGAGGCCTTTACGGCGAGACGACGAGAAAGGTTTTACTCCTCTTCACGATGGCTCTCGAATTAAAAGAGCAGCAAAAGATATTGTGCTATCTGCTCGGAGTCAGAAACATGTGCGCCAACGATTGGGCTGTTCAGTGGTTTTGTTATTTTGCGGATGCAGAGCAGCGAGAGAATGACGACTTGCTGCTTCTTCAGGGGCAGTTTCAGTTTTTTTCTGCTTTCTGCTTGTTGCATGCGCATTTTGAATGAATTGGTCTTTAGCTGTTTCTACGGGGTCGCTGGCTTCTAGGGTTGTATGCGTTCTCGCTTCTGTTCGTTCTTAGTTGCATGCAGCTTCATACTCGTTGTTTAAGATTTCTTACTGTTGCAAGTGGACAGCAGTTGCAAGAGAGAAAAGAACTGTGGGCCGGAACAGCCACGCGTACTTGAATGCATGCGTGCCACTGGATGCGGTATAGTTCTATACCGATAATCAGTGTCTATATATATATATATATATATATATATA